GCAGGGATATTCCTACAGACGGCTGAGCCAAGGCTCTGTGCAGATGCGTGGCTGGACCTGGAACCAGCGTGAACCGCTGCCGGGCCCTGCCCTCAGGGGCTTCACAGGCAAAGCAGGAAAGCCTATGCCACATCTCAAATTGGCACGGCCAGATGCATGCTACATGAGCTCCAGGGTAGGAGACATGAGACTGGGCAAGGGTATTACTAAGACCGTGAAGGAACTGTTTCTGATTTTAGACAATGGAATCAGAATGTATGCTTGACTGCTTCCTTAGCACTCCAAAGAAAACAATTTAGAATGAATAAGCTTGTCAGCTCCATCATGTAAATCCCAATACCTATTGCTTTTTCTGAATATCTCTAAGTTGAAATCACAGATTTTCCAAACGACTAAAGTAACAGCATAACTGGTCCGGAAAGATTATGTTTTATATTGTGACTTGGGTAAGGATATAAGAAGTACCTTAACAACATTATATACTATCTAATCATTACTGAGTGGCCTGAATTAGAAGGCTGGCAGAATTTTCACTCAGTAATTCTGCTTGGACAGAATTCCCACTTAGAGCAAAAAACCTTCCTTCAGAATTTAAATACATACTTAAATTATATTTATATAAATTATATATTTAAATATATTTAAATGAATTGAGGATTAGGGTGTGGGGCACAAAACAAAATGATTTATTCTACTTCCCCTTTAAAAAAATGACTGATACTACAGAGGTAGGTATTAGCTCAGACAGAGCATGTCATCAGAACACTTGAATCACCCTAGACTAAATTATAGGCTGGACACTAAGCAAAACTGAGAAAGAAATATAGCATGAGAGAATTTATTCCATCAGAAAATTTTAATTTTCTGATAATGAAATTATTCAGATTTACCTTAAAATAACAACTATTGAGTGCTGAATGTATTCCAGCCACACCACTGAGTATTTTCACATTATCTTAATCACCTCTAATAACAAATGAGGTAATGACTGATATCTCCAATTTCCAGAAGGGGAAACTGAGGCTTGAAGGGAATACACAATTTTCCTAAACAATAGAGCTTGATAGTCAGGGAATTCAAATCCCAAGGATTCTTCACTCCAGGCTCTGTGCTCATTCTGCCATTGTATGGAAGCAGAGAATAAGCCTGTAAGAATTGTAATGAAAGCCATGAAAATGTTCCTAGTGGTATTTTAGTAGGGGATTTTCCTGTGAAAATCCAAGATATTATTTTCAGGACCATGTAGGGTGTCACAGAAACTAACAAAGATGGTCAACTAGCTATTCATCTTGTGAACAAGAATTTGAGAAATGTTTAGTTCTTAGCATTTCCTTGTCCATGAAAAGAGTGACCTTCCACACCTAATAAAAATGACCTTTTATTACATTTTCCCTCATGTGCTATATCTAGAAAAATCAGAGGCTTTAAGTTGGCTCATAAAAATCTTTGTCCCTTATTTCCATAATCAAATATTTTAAAATGTTAGGGCTACTGAATTATATATAGCAGGGACCAAACATCTCATTTCATTATTATTTCTTTAAACTACATTTTTAGAAATAGAGATGAGATCAGGCTAGTCTCAAACTCATGAACTCACTCATTCCTCCCTCCTTGGCCTCTCAAAGTGCTGGGATTATAGGTGTGAGCCACTGTACCTGGTCAGGGACCAAACATTTCAATGGCTATAATCAGAAGATGATGCGTTGTCAGGATAGTTAATAAATTTCACAGGTTTGTTTCTTTTTGAGATGGAGTCTTGCTCTGTTGTCCAGGCTGGAGTGCAGTGGTAGAGTCTCAGCTCGCTGCAATCTCTCCCGGGTTCAAGCAGTTCTCTTGCCTCAGCCTCCTGAGTAGCTGGGATTACAGGTGCCCACCACCATGACTGGCTTTTTGTATTTTTAGTAGAGACAGGATTTCACCATCTTGGCCAGGCTGGTCTTGAACTCCTGACCTCATGATCCACCTGCCTCAGGCTCCCAAATTGCTGAGAGTACAGGTGTGAGCCACCGTGCCCAGCCACAGTTTTTTAATTCTTTAAGGTCTATATGCTGAAAAGTCCAGAAGGGAGTCGACATCAGAACTCTTGTGATTTTCCTGGATCAATTAAGGCAGTTATACAATAAACTCTTACTATCATGATCTAGCAAAAGCTTATGAATAGACTCAGTGTCACTGTTGTCACTGGAATTTCACTGCTAGTTAAACAAGTCAGCCCTTACAGGGCACACAAACAGAGATATGATTTTCCACTCAGGCCCAGTACTCTGAAGAAACAGGAAAAGAAAGGACCCCTATTAATGGTGTGCAGTGGCGGATCTAAGTTTGAGACTTCTCAGACCAGAAGCAGGACTGCCCTTTGTTGCCATCTGAAGGAGCAATATCCAGGAAGATTTTAGCTAGGCACTTAACAATTTTTAAGTAGTGGCTTTCCTTTCTGGAGAAAAGTACTCAAACCAAGCTCACACACATTAAAATTGGAGGAAAGTGTCAATCTGAGACCAAAGGTCATGTCTGCAAAATGGGCATGTATTTCTTGACCCTGAAGATGTATTCATGCAACTGGTTCCAAAAGCCAGGGAACGATTGCTTAAAATATTTTCCAAACCAGCCTCTAGTGACTCGGCTGACCAAGTGTGCAACATTTGATTAACAAGTGGATGTCTCTGGAGAACTCCATGCTGAAAAGGCAAGATTACTTCACTTTCACAGGGAATCAGGAGGGAGACACAAGCCAATGTTTACCTTGTAAAGTCTTTTTCTTTTCTTTTAGACAGGGTCTCACTCTTGTCGCCCAGGCTGAAGTGCAGTGTCATGATCAAGGCTTACTGCAGCGTTGACCTGCCTGGGCTCAGGTGATCCTCCCACCTCAGCCTCCTGGGTAGCTAGGACTACAGGTGTGTACCACCATGCTAATTTTTATTTTATTTATTTTATGTTTATTTTTTGTTTTACCACGTTGCCCAGGCTGGCCCCAACTCCTGGGCTTAAGCAGTCCTTCCTTCTTGGCCTTCCAAAATGTTGGGCTTATAGGTGTGAGTCACCACGCCTGGCCCTCTAAAAGTCTTTTTTTTTTTTTTTTTTTTTTTTTTAAGGTGGATTCTTGCTGTTTCACCCAGGCTGGAGTGCAGTGGTGTAATCTTGGCTCCCTTCAGCCTCTGCCTTCTGGGTTCAAGCAATACTTCTGCCTCAGCCTCCTGAGTAACTGGGATTACAGGCATGTGCCACCACACCTGACTAATTTTTTATTTTTAGTAGAGATGGGGTTTCACCATGTTGGCCAGGCTGGTCTTGAACTCCTGACCTCAAGTGATCCACATGCTTCAGCCTCCCAAAGTGCTGGGATTACAGGCGTAAACCTCTCTCAAAGTCTTTAAAAAGAGTTTTAACAATTAATCCTCGACTCTTATCACTAAGAAAATAAACAAGTCCATCTCTTTTCTTTGCCCTAAAGGAAATAAAATCGTTCTTTGTAGCTGTGATTTAAATATGGTGGAGTACGATAAACCTTCCCTTAAAAATGTCCAAAACCACTGGGCACTTCTTGGGGGAAATATTCCAGATTTGTTTCTCTACTTCTCTTCTTTCCTCCTACAAATAGCCTCTCCTAGGGCTATTCCAGGATGTTATTTATTTACTAGAAACCTCACTTTCCTTTGCACAAGGTTCTTGAGAATCCAATCTGACCCCAAGAATCCCATTAACTTCCAAAGGCCATTTCCCTCCCCTTCCTCCCCCCTGAGGGAGAGAGGGTGGTTCAGAGGGGAAGGAGGCAACACCATATTTTCTGAGATTTAGAAGCAGCAACTGGAAAGCACAGTACCTGAGGTTGGGAGGGGACAAGGTGTCCCCCCTTGCCTTTTCAGCAGACATTTCTGCAGTTTACAAAGGGAAGGTGGAGACTGCCAAGGAATCCACATTCCCCAGGGGGTGCAACAGCCCTTGCCTGCTGAGAGTCCCTACTTTGGAGCTATCACAGGAAAAGGAGACAGATACGGCCCTAGCCCGAAGGCCCAAGGTAGAAAACACACAATCTTGGCAAAGAATCAGAATCTAAATAGGAATCACTCCTACCTCTGAGCAATGGCTCAGACATCCACCTGGTCCAGTGATCTACGAGGGGTGGATCACTTAAATACACCCTTGTTTAAAAACAGGCAAGGATGGCTTAAACATTATTTTAAATACAAAAACTACGTGGAGAACAAGGAATGCAGGAGGGAGGCGGCTGAGTTCTTTTAGCTCTCTTCCCCGTGACCTCCCGCGGGCCACAATGGCACATCCCAGAATTCAGGCGTGAATCTGGCAGCTTTTCAGAGCCCGGGTGCAGACAGTTGGCGCTTGCAGCGTGGTAAGGCACCTTTCCACGCACTACCCAGGGTGCCAGGGTGAGCGGCGGCAGCGTTCTCAGCCTCCCGCCCCTAAGTGTCCGGCCCATCCCAGAGGCCAAGGTGCCTCTTCCAGTTCGACTGAGAACTGTAATCCACACTCAATCTCTGTCCTGGCAGCGTGGCTGTGGGTGGGGGGTGAGGCCAAGGTACCTCTTTCAATTTGACTGAGAACTGTAATTCATCCACAATCTCTGTCCGGGCAGCGTGGCTGGGGGTGGGGGATGAGAAAGGTGTCGGTGGTAGGGGGAGATACGGTGCAGGATTAACAAAGAAAAAAATCGAACCCGGTTTTCAAACGAACAGAACCGAGAGCTACTTGCTTCCGTTTCCACCCCCAAGCCCCTTTGATCGTTTTGGGTAGAGCAGGAACCAGCAGCTCAAAGAGCATTCAAATGGGAGTCCCTGAGGAGCTTTGTTCTTAGTGTGCAATAATCAGAATGCTTGGGGTAAAGCCCCCGCCGGGGAAGGGGGGCGAGGCTAAGACCTAGGGGGCGCCGAGGGACCCTGCACGGAGTGCGCCAGCGCCAAGCCCACTCTCACTGCCGCACGCGGCCTGGGCGCAGCGAGCGCGTGAGGGTGCGCGCATCTCCCACCCGCCGCGCCGCTCACCTAGCACCACCGCGGCCACGGTGGACAGCAGCAGCCAGTTATTCTTCAGGAAGCGCTTCCACTCGCATCCCTTCCTCGCGGGTTTCCCCATGGCGGTCGCCGCTATTGTGCGCGGAATTCGGCCGTGCGCGTGTGGGCTAGGCGACCCGGGGACCGCTGGCTGCTCGGCGGCTGGTGAGATGCGGGTGTATAGGGGAGAGGTGAGCGCTGGTCTCTGCAGTCGCCGCTGTCACCGCCGCTGTTGCTGCCGCCACCTGGGATGGCTCACCGCACCAGCCGCCCTGCCAGCCTGGTGGTTTTGCGTTGCAGGCGCGCCCGGCTCCTCCTGCCGCCGGCGCGCTCGGCGGCGCCCGGGCCAACCAGCGAGGCAGGAGGGAGGAGCGGCGAGCCGGGGGAGGGAGGGTGGGTGCGTGCGTGGGGCGCCCGGGGTCCCCAGGGAGCAGGCGTGGGAGGGCGCCTAGCCCTGCGGCAGGAGCTGGGGCGGCCTCTCTGGGAACCCTGCGTCTTGCTCCACAGCCTTCCGCTGGAGTCTGTCTAGCTTTCCACGTCCCCTCCTTATGTTAGGTCTTTGGGTTCAGGGTTTTCTTCTGACCCTACCCCAGAGAGGCGGACCCACTGACCCCCTCGGCGTGAACTTCATCCTGCACGCCTTCCTCTCCTTTCTCCACACCAGCAATTTCCAGTGCCAGCACCTGGAGAACCGGTGCCCTTTCGAGTTGGGGGAAACTGATTTTGCCTTGGGTCTGTCTTGCCCCGCTACGCAGGCTGGGATTTGCCCGCAGCCGCAAAAGCCTGAAGCCTCTGGGGGGAGAGAACGGAATCCTGGGGCAGAACAGGGCTTTGGAAACTTTCACGCGGAGCCTCCATTGCCCCCACAGGGATTATTAACTCTCCTCTTAGAGTCTCAGGAGGTGATTTGTCTGTGGACACTGGGCTTGGAAGTGATCTCTGCACACGGAGATGGTGATCCCTCTTAGAACTTTACTTCCGCTCCTTGGGACTTGCTCTGTGACCACAGGCCCCGGAGCTTGGAGAGTTGGTGCAGTAATTAGGACTGAGAACCCACCGGGGAGTTGTTCTGGGGAGAAAGTGGGCGGCCCATCCCTAAGGCCAAACGCATTGGAAAGGCAAACACAGGAGAAAGTAGGTTAGTGGTGCCAAATATACTTGGTGTTGCTAAGTGAATTTCTGATTCTCTCCCATTTTTCTACCCATTTTTTTTTTCACTCTCACACAAACTCTTTTCCCCCCTTTACCAAATCAGTACCTCCACAGCTGTAAGCTGTCTTCTTATCAGCTTTCCTAATATTAAGCGAGCCTGGAACCCTTTTTGCTTATGGTAGAATCTACCCTGATTGCTAGTAGGGAGAATTTCCCCTACTAGATTTTCTAAAGACTAAATCCTCACAATGAGAGTTTCATTCCTTCGACGTAAATTGATACAAGCGTCTTTGAAGCAATAATAGATTAAGATTTACAACCCTGTAGACTTTAGTATGAATGAGTTTATCAGCTCCTTTCTAGAAAGTAAACTTTGAGAGAAAGAAGGGTAGAGGAATATTAAGGCAGAGGAATATTAAGGGTGTCTGAGGAAGATGTAAAGAAATGTCAGAAGGGAAACTATCAAGAAAGAGAGAACAGTGCCGGGCGCGGTGGCTCACATCTGTAATCCTAGCACTTTGAGAGGCCAAGGCAGGCAGATCACTTGAGGTCAGGAGTTCGAGAGCAGCCTGACCAACATGGTGAAACCCCCTATCTACCAAAAATACAAAAATGAGCTGGGTGTGCTGGCAGGCACCTGTAATCCCAGTTATTCGGGAGGCTGAGGCAGGAGAATCACTTGAACCCACGATGTGGAGGTTGCAGTGAGCCGAGATCATGCCACTGCACTCCAGCTTGGACGATGGGAGCGAAATCCTTTCTCAAAAATAATAATAATAATAATAATAGAGAACAGATTATTTATCCCACAGTAAAAGGCAGCTGGAAAAAACTCAAATGTCCAGCATGAATGGTAAACATATGGAACTGCCAAGCAATATTACCTTATGCAGCCTATATAAAGGAAGTTTATGAAGTTTTTAACAGCATGGGATGGGATAGCACGTTATAAATCTGTATTTATAAATATAAAGGGAAGAAAGGAATACTAAAATTGTATATACAATCTGGTCACATATATGTAAATTAAACATACTGGCCAGGTGCAGTGGCTCTCACCTGTAATCTCAGCACTTTGGGAAGCCAAGACAGGAGGACTGCTTCAGCCCAGGAGTTCAAGACCAGCCTGGGCAATGTAGTGAGACCCCTGTCTCTACAAAAATTAAACCAATCAACAAGCAGATGGGGAAAAAACCATGTGCATAGAAAAAATGACCAGAAGAAATATGCCAAAAATTTTAACAATGGTCATCTTTGCCTTCTGTCTTTTGTATTTTCAAAGTGTCTAGAGAGAGCTGGGTGTGTTGGCTCACATCTATATTCCCAGTGCTTTGGGAATCTGAGGCAGAAGGGTCACTTGAGGCCAGAGTTTGAGACCAGCCTGGGCAATATAGTGAAATCTTGACTCTACAAAACTTAATAATAATCTAGGATAGCCGGGCGTGGTGGCACATGTCTGTAATCCCAGCTACCTGGGAGGCTAAGGTAGCAGAATTGCTTGAACCTTGGGGGCAGAGGTTGCAGAGCCAAGCTTGTGCCATTGCACTCTAGCCTGGGCAACAAGAGGGAAACTCCATCTCAAAAAATAAATAAAGAATATAATCTGGGCATGGTAGCATACACCTGTAGTCACTGCTACTTGGGAGGCTGAGGCAAGAGGATGGCTTGAGCCCAGGAGTTCGAGGTTGCAGAGAGCCTTGATTGCACCACAGTACTCTAGCCTGGATGACAGAGCAAGACCCTATCTCAAAAAACAAAAAGAAAAAAAAAAGTGTCAACCATAAGCATACCCATACTCATCACAGTTGTAGATAGGGCACTACTTACAAAATAAACATTCCTGAAGGGAGAAAAAAAGTGGAAGTACCTGAGAAACTATGTGTACATCACAACTATTTGGGTTATAGTAAGACAATTACACCTGGGTTCTGGGGGTAAAGTATTTAGGTTCAAATCCCAGCACCATCACTTATCAGCTCAGTGACCTTGGGCAACTTGCTAAATATTTTATGTCTCAGTTTCTTCATCTGTAAAATGGGGGCATTAATTATCTTTAACTCATGGAGATAGTTTAAGAATTTAACATAATAATGGGTGTGAAAGGCTTAGGACACTCTGGCACAAAACTAATATTATCACCAATTTTACTTGGAGTCAACCTGAACAGGCATCTTTTAACACCATCTTTTAACACTTGCCTGTCATCACCACACCCTGAACCACTTCAGACCCATGAGAATGCTTGCTTATTGATCAACAGGAATTGCCCTTTAGAGGTTCAAGGGACCTTATATCACCTATTGCACTTTCACACTGGGGGGACCAAGGCCGCTGGTCCCTGAAGATTTGCTGCAAAATTACTGCAGATTTATTTATTATTAGATTAGTATTATTATCTTTGAGACGTAGTCTTGCTCTGTCGCCCAGGCTGGAGTATGGTGGCGTGGTCTTGGCTCAGTGCATCCTCTGCCTCATGGGTTCAAGTGATTCTCCTACCTCAGCCCGCCGAGTAGCTGAGACTAGAGGTGTGTGCCTCCACACCCAGCTAATTTTTTTGTAGTTTCAGTACAGAAAGGGTTTCACCATATTGGCCATGATGGTCATCTCTTGACCTTGTGATCTGCCCGTCTCCGCCTCCTAAAGTGCTGAGATTATGGGCATGAGCCACTGGGCCTGGCAAGAGGCAGATTTATTAATAGGAGAAAAGGCATACAAATGTATTTGACACATATACGTGGGAGCCTTCCAAATGAAACCCTAACCACCCAATGAGGTACAGTAGTTTATATACCATCTTGAGGTTACAGAAAGAATGGGGGCTTGAATCCTGGTAAAACAGGTTGTGAGAGGTGAGGAGAAGACAAATTGTTGAGGGGATTACTAGGGAGAATGAATGGATCCCTGAACAGAGATTAATTTGTGAATAGTTCTCTTTGATAGTGAAAGTCTGGTGTGGTTACATTCCTGTTCTTACAGGGAGGGGAAGAAGAACAAACAATTATTTTCCTTGTTGGGTCTGAATCTTAGGCAGATAAAGGCACTTCCACTTCTTTGTGAGAGATGGTGGCTGGGGAGGTCAGAGAGAACTTGAGGTTTCTCCATTTCAGCTTGTCAAAATGCCGTATTTTGGGGTATTGATTTCTGAGTCCAACAACACTTAAAGTCTCTATAGTGCATACTTGTTTTATGTTCATTTAAATTATGCATTGAAAATAGTACAATATAAAAGATTAATAAATTTCAGTATACACAAACATTTTGAAATAATAAAAATCTCCCCAACTAAAAGCAAGTCAGGCCAGGTGCTGTGGCTCACACTTGTAATCCCAGCACTTTGGGAGGCTGAGGTAGGTGGATCGCCTGAGGTCACGAGTTCAAGACCAGCCTGGCCAACATAGTGAAACCCTGTCTCTACTAAAAATACAAAAAATTAGCTGGGTGTGGTGGTGGATGCCTATAATCCCAGCAACTCAAGAGACTGAGGCTGGAGAATCACTTGAACCCAGGAGGTGGAGGTTGCAGTGAGCTGAGATGTTGTGACACTGCACTCCAGCCTGGGCAACAAGAGCAAAACTCTGAAAAAAAAAAAAAAAAAAAAAAAAAGCAAAAGTCAGGAGTCTCAAAGGCTCAAAGCCGATAGTGTAATCCACTGATTGGTTCTTCTTGCCTGCTGCACAGATAGAGCTGATTCACTGAGACACTGGAATTGTTGTCAAACAGTTTAATTAATGCAAAGCTAGTCACATGGAAAGACAGGAGGTTATTACTCAAATCAGCCTCCCTGGAAACTTAGAGACTGGGGTTTTTAAGGATAACTTGGCAGTCAGGGTTTAGGGAATACATGCTGCTGGTTGGCTGAAGATAAAATCACCAGGGGCGTGGAAAGTGGTCTTTATGCTCTGAGTCAGCCTCTGGGGTGGGTCCACAGGACTGGTTGAGTTGTGGATCTGGGTGTGGTCAGCCAGTCCACAGAAATCCAAAGGTCTGCAAAACATCTCAGAAAACCAACCTTAGGGCTGAGCACAGTAGCTCACGCCTGTAATTCTAGCACTTTGGGAGGCCAAGGCGGGCGCATTACTTGAGGTCAGGAGTTTGAGACCAGCCCGGCCAACTAGGTGAAACCCCATCTCTACTAAAAGTTCAAAAATTAGCTGGCTGTGGTGGTACATGCCTGTAATCCCGGTTAC